ACAATATGGTCACCCAACACTTAACAAAATGGCTGGCTCACTGCTGCCAACTAGTGGTCAGAGGCTGAACTACAACATAAAAAATGAACGGCTGGCAGGAAAGTTGACATTTTAAACCTTAATAAAAAATCGATACAGGGCTTTAGAATATCGATACAGTATCAGGAAATGAAATATCGTGATATTTCAGTGTATCGATATTTTCTTACACCCCTACCGTTGTCTCTTAACTACCTGCTCCTTCTGCTCTCCTCCAGCATGGAGTTTGAGTATCTTCGTGATGTTCCTGTGCTGACCATGGACGTGAACGAAGACTTTAACAAAAATAACATCAAGAGTTCTGACATGATTGAGAAGGTAACTTTTTTTATTCGGTTTATAAAACAGCAGATCGCTAGTTGAGTTTTTAATTTGATAATAGACGAGTTAAAGTTGAATATCTGTAAAACTGACTTATACTGTACACTGCCTGGTCAAAAAAAAGACACCACCAAAAGAAAGGTCACACTAATACTGTTTCATTGGATTGTTTGCTTTTGATTTATTTCATCCAGTGTTGCCTTAACTTTTCACCAAGATCTTGCACTGATGATGGTAGAGCAGGGGTGGGCAGTCATGGTCCTGGAGGGCCGCAGCGCTTCATGTTTTACATGTTTCCTGCTCCAACTCACCTGATTCAGTCACTGAACTACCTCTTCATGTTCTGCAGTATGGAGGACCGACACTGACATCATTAGAAATAAAAGCAGAAATAGAAAAATGAACCTTTAAATGAATAAAGACATTTAAAATGCACAAAATTAATTAAAAAAGAGAACTTTACCTCATGTTTTATAATTTAATTGACCTTCATATTTTTCCAGCTTAGTTCCAAAAAATTATATATTTTAACACATAATTTAAATTTTAACATTTTTAATATATATTTTATAGTTTTTCCTTTTACTTGAACATGCATGTGTGTCTCTTGAATGCTTAAACTGAATTATTTTTTAAATTTTGTCCAACAAGTCTTTTTATTTCCATGTGTTGCATGCTTGTGCTGCCGCAGTTTGGCTTAATGTTTAGTTAAAAATAAATGTACAGGTAATGTTTTAGTCTTTGCCTTTGTTTTAAACTTTATCATCAGTTGTGGACATAAGTATAAAATGTATTTGTTTTTATAACAGACAGGCAGATAATTTATCATCCTTTTACAGTGATAACTGGAGCAAAGCTAATTCTGTCAGGGCTTTAGCACAACAACAAATAAAACCTCACACTGCATAATGCAGATTGTAGTTTCAGCTCTTACCAGAAGGTGTCAGTGTTTTAGAACAAAAACTCAGTCAAAGCTGCTACTTTACAAAACACTTCATTTATCTAATCTGTTAAAACGACTTTATAACAAATACTTTAGTAGGTCAGAGATAAAAGATCAGGATTTTATCCACCAAGCTGTAGTGTGTTTATGACTATATATATATGTTTTGTCAGGATATTTCTCTTAATAAATATTATGTTAAAAAGGTGTTTGTATTTTTAACCTAATGACGCTGATTTTATTTATTTACTTGGACAAAGTGCCATCATCATATTATATTTACAAATACTATTAGAGTAAAACTCTTGTGTTTAATTATAAGCTGTAAAGTGTTATTTGTTGCACCGTCGACTTTAATTTTTGCACATTATCTCACAGCTGAAGTCTCTTTAGCTCTGCCTGGATATTTGATGTGAATGTCCCAGATCTGTGGTTCAGGACGAACAGATTTGTATGTTTTTGAGGCTTTCTTGATCAGGTTGAGTTGTTCTGAGTCCATGTCTGATGAGATGAGGGAGGTGGGAGTGGGGCAGGAATGGAAAAATCTCTTTTTTTCCAGACGTTTTCCCTCCTATAGAAGCCGACTGACGCTGCAGCAGCTGCCAAAGTGGCCAGTGTTAAAGAGAAACTAATCTGAATCACTTTCATTATGTAGTTTCCAGTTCCTGTCACAGTTTTCAGTTTCCTCCTGCAGCTTAGAAAGAAAAAAAAACAGAAAAATGCATCAGAACATGCAGCCCAAACAGGAATAGAGTGCAGTGATGTTCGGTAGCAGTACTGAACATCATAGGATGTGGCTGAAAGTAACAAAAACCTGTGAAATTCACTTGGTGGAAGTTTGGAGCTCTGCAGCTCAGACAGTAGAAACATCACTTAAAGTTAAAACGGGTCAAATAAAGTGCTTTCATTCATAGAAACAACAAAACTTTCAAAAAGAAAAAAATAGTATAGGTCCTCTGGACGGGTTCTTCTCTAATGAAACGTTTCGTCTCTCCTCCAAGAGACTTCTTCAGTCTGAGAGTTTCAGGCTAAATTCAGGCTTTTAAGCCCTGCCTCCATGTGACCGATACTCACATCACATGGCTATGGTTCACAGGTGACTGATACCCTCATCACATGACTATGGTTCACATGTGACTGATACAGCACATGGCTATGGTTCACATGTGACTGATACTCACATCACATGGCTATGGTTCACATGTGACTGATACAGCACATGGCTATGGTTCACATGTGACTGATACTCACATCACATGGCTATGGTTCACATGTGACTGA